TTTTTTTTTTTTTTTTAATGTTTGTTTATTTTCGAGAGAGAGAGAGAGCGCGCGAGCGAGCGAGCACGCAGGGAGGGGTAGAGAGGGAGGGAAACACAGAATTCAAAGCAGGCTCCAGGCTTTGAGCTGTCAGCAGAGTCGGACACGGGGCTCAATCCCATGAAACATGAGAGCATGACCTGAGCCGAAGTCAGATGGTTAACCGACTGAGCTACCCAGGCGCCCATGGTGGCTCTGAGCTTTTGCCCTTGTTGCCATCTGCTTGGGTGTGCTGTTTCCACAGGTCCAGCGTCGAAAGTGGAAGCTGAAGCTCATAGCAGAGCTCGAGTCTAGAGTCATGGCTGAGCCCATCCCTCTGCCAGCAGAGTGAGTGTGTGGCTGCCCGCCTGGGACCGGTCTCCCTCAAGGTCGGCAGCGGGGCCTGGCTGCTTCCGCTTGCTGTCCTGACCCTCAGACGGGAGCCCTCGAGATGAGTTGTTCTAATGAGCTTCCTGACCACCGTTGGGGAGTGGCATGATATATTTAGAAAGAGATCTGTGACTTGGGGTTTCACCTTTTTTTCCAGGCCCATCGTACCTGTGGGGGCACGGTGCTGATGGGCTCCCTGGAGCAGCAATTCTTACCTGGTGGGTGGAGGTGGTGTGCCCTCATGTTGTCTTGACAGGAGAGCGGAATCTTGAAAAACGCATCCTAAGTGATTCTGTCGTCTCTACCCCTCATTTTGACCCACTGTCCTGGAGGGACAAGAGCTAGTTTAAGGGAGCCAACGTGTGCCCTATTTGTGACGCGCAGGCCTCACAGGCTTTGACTTCCCGCCCAATCTTGTTGGGCCTCACTTCTCCCCACTGCTGTGTAGCCCAATGGAACTGAAGAACCTGGAGTACAGGCCAGTGAAGGTCAGGGGGCACTTTGACCACTCCAAGGAACTGTACATGATGCCTCGGACGATGGTGGACCCGGCCCGGGAGGCCCGGGAAGCCGGCCGCCTCTCTTCCTCGCCAGAGAGCGGGGCCTACGTCATCACCCCCTTCCACTGCACAGAGCTGGGGTGAGTAGGACCGACAGGTCAGAACTCGGGTTGTGGGAGAGGGTCATTCACTGCTTGGATGTTGCAGGAGGAGGCCCGAGGCAGGAGGCGGAGATTGATACCCAGGGGCCCTGGATATCGGTCTTCAGAGTTGGTGTTCTGCCAGTCAGGACACAGGCTGGACAGAGGCAGGCCTTCCCAGGGCACACCTGCTCCTTGTTCTCCCGGAGACTACCAGCGTTAACCTTTGTCCAAAAATCCTTCTCCGCCTGAGAGCATACTTTGTTACTTCAGAATCACCATCCTGGTAAATAGAGGGTTTGTTCCCAGGAAGAAAGTGAATCCGGATACACGGCCCAAAGGCCAGGTAAGGGGCAAGAACCCTCCTTTGTGAACAGGGCTCTATGGAAACCACAGGCCTTAAGGAGGAATCTCCCATTTTCCTTTCTAGATCGAGGGAGAAGTGGACCTAGTTGGGATGGTGAGGCTGACAGAAACCAGGAAGCCCTTTGTCCCTGAGAACAATCCAGAAAGAAATCACTGGCATTACCGGGACCTGGAGGCCATGGCCAGGCTCACAGGCGCAGACCCCATTTTCATCGATGCTGACTTCAGTACGTTGTGATCAGCCCACCCTAGAAGATCGAGTAGCTTTTTTGTAGATACCCCGTTCTACCTTCCTTTTAGCCCTGGAAATTTTCTAGTTATTTCCTGTTAGTTACATCGTAGTATCCGTTGGGAGAAAGGGGAATATCTGTCTGGAAAGAGGAAACCCAGGGTTGGTTACAGGTGAAAGGTATGTACTGAACTTTTGGCCGCGCAAAAATCTTAAAAGCTCTGCAAGGTTCCAAGGAAACAGCTGGCCAAGCCGCGGTAGGGAGAAACTGGTGCTGAGAAGCTGGCGGCTTAGCTATTGTGGATTGAGTCCGTTATCTCTGCAGAGAGCACCGTCCCCGGGGGACCCATTGGAGGGCAAACCCGAGTCACTCTGAGGAATGAGCACATGCAATATATCATCACCTGGTGAGTCCCCGATACGATGTCCCGTGGTAAGTTTGGATCTCTAGTCCCCCACCCCTTCAGAACCCTGACTGTTCATCTTTTTGACCCAAGGTATGGACTCTGTGCAGCTACGTCATACCTGTGGTTTAAGAAATTCCTACGTCGGACTTCTGGTGTGTGAGACTAGCAGATGTAGCCCTTCCCCTAAATTGTCAGGAAGTGGCTGATTTCTGGAGATGTTTTCATGTGGGATCAGCAACTATTGGCATAAATAAATCTCTGTGCTACGCTCTGTACTGTATCCATCATTCTACCTGGGCCACTTATATAACTGGATGATCATAAAGTCTAGGCTTGGGCCTGGTATGTGACCCAGCAGTCTTAAGGCTGCTTTTTCCAAATAATCAACGTACAACCTAGACAGCAGGTTTAACTCTACCCTACAACAAATAAGGACCTTGCCACCACCCCAAACGTGTGTTAAGACAACAAAAAATTGCAGTCCACCCTAAATGCCAACGGGCCCGGGCTGAGAAAGAGCCTTTTATTTACTTTTATATACAGAAAAGTCACCTGTGCCCACTCAGCCCAGTTTGGTGGCCAGTTCTTTAGCCTTTGCCTTTTCCAGCTTGGCGATGCGAGCCACCGACTTTGGACCCAGGACGTTGCCTCCCCAGTGGCGGCGGATCTGCAAAGACAAGAGAGGCAGTTGGCGTGGGCTGTCGTTGTCAGGCTCTCACAGCCATGCTAGGTCGTGCTGTCTTCTCCTTGGCCCTCCAAGTCCTTTGCCCAGTAGGACTGCTCTGGAGGAGCTGGCCAGTCCCCCGGAGACAGGCCTGACTTACCCCAAACGTTTTGGGTCCTGCTGCTGCTTACCTCATCGTATCTGTCGTTGTAATTGGTTCTGACAGCTTCCACCAGCTTAGCCAGAGCTCCTTTGTCTTCCCTGAAAAGGCGGGAGGGACAAGGGGGTCATCAGCATGTTACCTTTCCAGAAAACAGGAATAACTTCCTTTCTGTAGCCCCAAACACAAGGCCTTTGCCTCAGACACAACATGACCACACGGCTTATTCAGGTGAAGAAATTCGTAACCATCATCGGCAAAGATTCAGATGAACGTGTTGCTTGAAGGTAGAACATTTGGTCTTTAAGGTAAAATCCCGAGAAGTGAATGAAATGTACTGGGGGAGAGGACTGCCTGACCTCTACCGACACCTGGGAGTTCGGGGGCCCTTTGCATACTTACGAGTTAACCTGTGTGAAGGCGACAGTGGTGCAGGTCTTCCTGTGGACCAGTCGCCCCAGCCTGGCCTTCCCCTTGATGATGCAGTAGGGAACCCCCATCTTACGACACAGGGCAGGCAGGAAGACAACCAGCTGGAAAACCGTATTAGCTTTAGAACGTATATTGGCCAAAAGCAGTAATTTAGAAGCTAACTTAGCAACTGCTCAGGGTTAAAAAGCTCATGTTTTGCACTTCAAGGTTGAATTCAGTGAGAAATCCACATCATTGCAATGGCTATCGGTGGGATCCCTCATCAGTACTGTTTTCAACGGAAAGCAGTCACATGCCTACTTGGGCCTCGAGCCAAACTCCAGCTTACTTCCAGTCTTCCCAGTACTGACATGAGGGCCCAATCTGACTTTAACAGCGTTTACCAACCAATCTGACACACCTCGATAGGATCCACATCGTGTGCAATCACCACCAGCTGAGCCTTCTTGTTTTCCACCAAGGTGGTGACAGTGTTAACCCCTGGAAGCACAAACAGTTTGCATGAACAGTTCACAGGGACTGCCCAGGTCACAAAAGCAGCTCTACTATGGTATGCACCCAGCTGTGGCTCAGGGTTAAAAAGCTCGGATTCTGCTCTCCACGGTGTTTCCAGGTGAAGAAATTCATACATCACTGCCAACAGCCTGCCCCACCCCACCACTCACCCCCTTTAAGGAGGGGCCCACTCACCAGCTCGAAGGACAGGGGGCCTCTTAGTGGGGACATCCCCTTTGCCAGCAGCCTTCTTCTCAGCCCGGGCCAGCAATCTCTGCTTCTTCTCTTGCTTGGTCTCCGGCCTGTATTTGTGGGCCAGCTTGAGCAGCTGAGTGGCTGCAAGAATGACGTCAGTTTAGCCTCGTGTTTCAAGCTCTGCTCTTTGCTATCTACATGATGCTTTAAGTCACTGTCCGGAATACTATCGTAGTGCAAATCTCAGACCACGGGGCGCCTGGGTGGCACAGTCAAGTGTCAGACTCCTGATCCTGGCTCAGGTCCTGATCTCCCAAGTTTGTGAGTTCAAGCCCTTAACAGGGCCCTGCGCTGATGGTGTGGAGCCTGCTTGGGATTCTGTCTCTCCTTCTCTCTGCCCCTCCCCTGCTCGTGCCACCAAGTGTGTGCTCTCAACAGAAATTAAAAAAAAAAAAAAAAAAAAAATCTCAGACTATGCACGAGATCACTTCAGCTATGCCACCCTCGTGATCTGGAAACGAGACAAGGTAACCTAGATTTTAGTAAGCCAGTTTCCTGCAAGTACCCAGAACTCCTTAAAGACCTCAGATCAGTCCTAACTGCCCGGGAAACGTCTCCGTGCTGGTTTACACAAACTCACCTGTTTGGCGGTCCAAGGCCTGGGTGAACTGGTTAATCGCAGGAGGCACTTTGAGACGTTTATAGAGAATAGCCCTTTGCCGCTGCAGTCGGATGTAGCGGGGCCACTTGACAAAGCGCGTGAGGTCCCTTTTGGGCTGGATGTCCTGTCCTGAGAAGTTAAGGGCAACGATGTAAGTGAGGCTCAAACTCCCGGTCAAGTTCGTGCTTAGCGCCACTTGGGAGGGTGTAGGTGCATCAGCGATCTTGGTGGTTTAAAGCGTCATCACCATTTCTCAGATAGCAAATATTCTCTTACATCATCTGCACACAAACACCTATGATCACAGGGGAACTGGCGACGCTCCCCCATCCAACAAGCAGCCCAGCGGTCCGCCCATCAGTGCAGCGGTCAACGTGCCTGTGAGCGCTGCTTTCCTGGCGGCCAAGCCGAATCCTAGCGGAGCTGACACACACTCGGGGGGAGGGACAACGAGGCCACGCACCCGGTGCCGGCGTACCCACATCCCAGCCAGGGGGGGACCCCACACCCGCTGAAACCTATCAACGGGGCAGGAACACGACCCTCGCTCCGCTCAGCACACTTCCGCTTTTCCGCTGCCATGCTCCCCTCTCCTTACTCACCGATGCCAAAGTTCTTGGGCCTTTTCTCAAACAGGGGGTTGACCACCTTCTTGGCCTCCTGCTTCTTCACAACAGCAGGGGCCGGGGCCACCTTCTTCCCCTTGGCCTTCTTCCCTTTCGGCTAGGCGAGAAGCGACACCCAGATCAACCCCGCGCTCCCGCACGCGCTGCTCTGGAGGCTCCCCGATCCCCGCCTACGAGCAGAGCCTGACCCCCCCAGGCCCCGGCCAAGGCAGCCCAGAGGCGAGCGCGGCGACGGCCCGTGTGCATCAGCGATCTTGGTGGTTAGGAGCGTCCCCACCATCACTCAGACGGCAAATAGTCTTCACATCACCTGCACCACCCGGGATGCCGCGCCCGCCGCGTCCCAGAACTAGGCGCCCCGTCTCTAGGGGCCCGGCACACGGCAGCCTCCGCAAACAGCAGCGGTGGACTCGGAACCTCTCGCCCAAGGCCGCCGGGGGAGCCCCCAGGAGTTCGGCCCCGTCGCTCCGAGCCCCGCATTGCGGCGCTGCGCTCCGCGCCGGGGCCCTCCTCTCTCCACTCCCCGACCCAGCCGCCGGAATTCTACCCGGCCCAGTGCCACCCCGCCAGGCCCCGCGGGGCTCCCCTAGCGCTACGCCGTGGAGGGATCCCCGCACGGCCACGCCCCGAAGAGGATGGCAGTGGATAGAAACCGGACCCAGCTCAACACCGAGAACCGCCAGATCGCTCACCATCTTGGAAGGCTGGAGGAGAGAGAAAGAAAAAGAGAATTGTGGGTAATATGTAGGCGACCTCGGAGATCGCGAGAATTGACGCCTGCGCAGGATTTCGGATTTAAAGCCACAGGACCGCTCTCGCGCGCTTCCTCCCGGGGGCGGTGCCTACCGCGCCTACCGCGGCGAGTCGAAGCTGTACGGGAGCGGAGCGGAGACGGCGGTAGGGAGCCGGGTCTTACTGGGAGGGACGCACGCTCGTCTCCACCCCGACCGAGTGCCCGTCGCGCCGGGCTCTACGGACCAGGTGGGGGCGGCGGAGCGGGGTCGCCGTCTTTACTTGGGGGTGACCCTCCCCACTAAGCGACTCCGAGGCCGCGAGTTCCGTCGGTCGGCGGCGCGCAGGCGCAAGGCTCCTGGCGCGGAGACGGAGGTGGTCCGGGACTACCCCCAGACCCCCACCCCGAGCGAGGGAGCCTTGGGCGCGGCGGTGGCGGTAGAGTCGGAGGGACGCTGCGGCGGAGGGGCCGGGGAAGGCTCGGGGGTCGCCCCTGAGCGGTCGGGACACGAGTCCCCGCAGTGTGCCCGTGTGCGGATGGTGGGACAGGTGTGCTTAACGGAGAGGGCCTCTCCCGAGGTCCCAGTTCTGCTGGGATGTGGGCGGCTGAGGCTGGCTCCGCTCACCCGGACTCTGGCTCCCAGGTGGCGACCGGTGGCCCCAGATCTCTGTCCCTGCACTGCCTGAGGCCCCCGCCATGGCCCAGCAGAGAGCCCTGCCGCAGAGCAAGGAGACACTGTTGCAGTCTTACAACAAGCGGCTCAAGGATGACATCAAGTCCATCATGGACAACTTCACCGAGATCATCAAGACTGCCAAGGTGGGCGCCCCGGGGTCTGAGACCAAGGGAGGGAGCAGGGTCTAGGGATGGTGGTGAGCTGAGTAGCTGACCTGCTCTGGTCAAGGGTCATGGGGTGGGGGGGGGGGGGGGGGGAGTGATTTCTGCTTTCAGCAGCACCCACTGAACACGGAGCAGGTGCTCTGTGCCCGGTGGTGAAGATACAGCAATGAACACACAGGCCCGGTATATGTCCACATGGGAAAAACATTTGGGAGGACTGTACGGTGGCGGGGGGGGGGGGTCAGCAATGACAAGCAGGTCAACAGATGAAGCTGGAGAGGAGTCTAGTCAGATTGCCAGGGTTGAACGTCCAGCGCCACTTACGAGCAGTGTGGGTCTGGGCGGGAACGAGCCTTCTCAGTGCCTCAGTTTCTCCCGCAACCTAAAGCCCTCTGGCGATTGGATGACTTTATAAAATGGTTGCTGTGGGGCCTGATGGGGGCCCAGATGTGGTAGCTGTTGC